CCAGAAGTAGACTTCCTGGACCATAGGGCAGCTCTATTTTTAATTTTTGAGGAATCTCCATACTGGTTTCCATACTGGCTGCACTAATTTACAGTCTCACCAACAGTTTACAAGGGCTCCCTTGTCTTCACTTTCTTGCCAACACTTGTTTGTTGATTCGATGGTGTGAAGTGATATCTCATTGTAGTTTTAATTTGCATTTCCTTCATTAGTGATGTTGAACATCTTTTTATACGTCTGTTGTCCATCCATATGTCCTCTTGGAAGAAATGTTTATTCGGGTCCTTTGCCCATTTTTTGATTAGATTGTTTTTTGGTGTTAAGTTGTTTGAGTTCTTTATAGATATGGATGTTAATCCCTTATTGGATATATCATAGTTGAATATCTTCTCCCATTTAGTAGGTTGTCTTTTCATTTTGTTGGTTTCCTTCACTGCACAAAAATTTTTTAGTTTGATGTAGTCCCATTTTTTTTCTTGTTTCCTGTGCTCGAGGAGACATCTAAAATATAGTGCTAAGAGCGATGTCAAAGAATTTACTGCCTATGTTTTCATGTAGGAGTTTCATAGTTTCAGGTCTAACATTTAAATCTTTAATCCATTTAGTTTATTTTCATATATGGTATAAGAAAGTGGTCCAGTTTCATTTTCTTACACGTATCTCTCCAGTTTTGCCAACACCACTTACTGAAGAGGCTGTCTTTACCCCATTATATATCCTTGCCTCCTTTGTCATAGATTAATTGACCATATAAGCAAGGATTTATTTCCAAATTCTTCATTTTTGTTGATCTATGTATATTTTGATGCCAATACCATATTGTTTTGATTATTGTAGCTTTGTAGTTTAGTTTGTTATCAGGGAGCATGACACCTCCCACTTTGTTCTTTCTCAAGTTTTCTTTGGCTATTAGGGGTCTTTTGTGGTTCTATATAAATTTTAGGATTAGTTATTCTAATTCTGAGAAAAATGACATTAGTGTTTTAATAAGGATTGCATTGAATCTGTACTACATTAGGTAATAAGGACATTTTAACAATATTAATCCTTCTAATCCATGAGCAAGGTATAGCTTTCTATTTATTTTTATCTTATTAATTTTTTTTGTTTAATGTCATAATTTTCAGAGTACACTTTTTTAAAAGACATTTTCAACATCAGGGGCTCCTTGCTTAGTTACCCCAAAATTAGATCCTTAAAGCACATACAATAGAGAAAGAGACCATTTTTGCCCTGCCAGGACCCATGAACCTAATGCAGTTTCTTCCTTTGTCTTCTATATGATTCTTTATTCTGTGTTCTGGTGCTCATGTTATGAGGGCATATCAGTGACTAAAGGTATTCCTGGGAAGCATGTCTGTTCCGTGTGCTGCATTTTAAGAAAGCACCTGATGTATTGATTTGGATGTGGTGAGATGTCCACCATGAAGAATGCCAGAAACCACACCTTGTATATATATGCTCAACAGGTTAAAGATGATTATAATTGGTGATATTTTACAGTGGGATCATCTGAGACCCATCCATGAAGCCAGAACACACCGAGTCAAGTGAATGTCCTCAGAAAAGACAACCATATAGGAAGGTCCAAGAGAAAACACTGTGATTAGACCATAATACACAAGACAGTTCATTACTGCATAGCCAAAATAGAGAATCTTTCTAGAAGTACAAAGGTACTTATGTGCCTCTGAGAAATTATTAATAGCATCCCAGGTTATAATTCTGAATACATTTTCCTGAAGTCAGTTGGTTTTATACAGCGGCTTTATAGTACATTTACTAATACGAATAATTAAGACTTATGGACTTTGGAACCCAGTGTCCACTTATTCTGTAATTTAGCAAATATATATTTATCAAACAGCCATTATGCCTCAAGCACTGTTCTAGGCTCTGGGGATAAAACGGTGACTACCTAAATTTTACAAATAAATGTGTAAAGGATTAGTATGGATTTTAGCCAAAAATAAATTTCCCTTTTACATGTGTTGATGTAAAATTTGCCCTAAATCACTTACTGAATAAAGAATTATCTTTTAAAAACACATTTTAATAGACTAAATAGCCATCAATTATAATTTGTGTGTGTGTGTATATATATACATATATGTATCTATAAGATATACATGTATGTATATATACACACACATATGTGTATATATGTATATATACATGTACACATACACATGTATATATACATGTGTGTATATATACACACGCGCGTATATATG